CCCCAAAACCCCAAAACCCCAAAACCCCATAAGGAAAAATTTTAGAGGATTTCTCTAGAAAATTAAAATAATATTATAGCATATTATAATGACTGAATAAACAGTTTCTTTAGAAGGTGGTCTTCAATATAAAGGAGGATTACTGAGTGGACTCCCTCACGGTGAAGGGAAAATGAATTGGCCTAACGGTGATAGATATGAAGGTCAATTCAAATTCGGAAAGAGAAATGGACTAGGCAAGAGAATCAATTAGGATGGTTCAGAATATCATGGAGAATACGAAGATGATAAACCTTCTGGCAAAGGTATATACGTCTGGAAAGATGGCGAAAGATACGAAGGAGAATGGAAAAATGGTCTATTTCATGGAAAAGGTATTAAAACTCTACCAGATGGCACAGTCTATGATGGAGAATGGCTCAACGGTAAGCCAAATGGAATGGGAATTTGTAAATATCCGGATAGTTCCAAATATACTGGTAACTGGCTTGATGGTTAACCATCTGGCTAAGGACTGAAGGTGATACAAGATGGGACAAAATACACAGGAGATTGGAAAAATGGTAAAGCACATGGCAAAGGTGTCAAGTTTTTAACAAACGGAACTGTGTATGATGGATAATGGGAAGATGGACAAATTATTTTAGGAAAATGTTCTTACCCTGATGGAAAAATATATGAAGGAGAATGGAAAGAAGGAAAACCTCACGGCAAAGGAGTGAAATTCTGGACTGATGGAAGGAAATATGATGGAGAATGGTGCGTTGGAAAACCCTTTGGTATTGGAAAGAAAGTCTATCCTGATGGAAAATTCAAACTAGGTTATTGGGAAGGGACTAAATTTTATGAAGGATGTAAGATTTTTTAATTGGATAAAACTCTTTTTAGAACCTCCAAAAGGAAGAGTGTTTTAACTTCCAACAAAGATTGTGATGAAGAACAAAAATGAAATAAACAATGACCTTAACCAAAATCTGTCATTATAATAGAACAAATAAGATTACTAAAATAAAAATAGTAGAAATTATATTTTAATATTGAAATTTATAGTTTTAATCGAGGACAAATCTCCTAACCGTAATTTGGCTCCATAATAGGTAACCTTCATGAATCAAAAATAATCTTTTTTTAGAATTTTCAAATCAATCCTTAAACTTAGAAATCACCAACATCAAAGCTTTCTATGTAAAATTCTCCTAAAGGATTGATAACTCCTGCTTTGTAAGATAAATAGGATAATTCTGCTCAATACTTGGTAAGTATTTAGAATCTTTTTCACTCATAATTTTAGGATAAATTAGCTTTGGATAAAATGCAATTTAATGATTAAGAAAGTGTTAATCCTTCTCAATTTAAACTTAACAAATCATAGGAAAGAGTATCTCCAGTATAAAATGAAAGAACAGAAATGCTACCATCTATTGCATAGAAAAGAGGTTCTTTACCGACATAAATCTTAAAGCCTAAGTATAAACCTGATTAGAATCTTAACGACGATGATGATGGATTTCTACCCTTTCCTGATGGGTCTAAATACAAAGGAACTCTTCTTCATGGCAACCCTGAAGGAGTTGGGCTAATTATATACAATGATGGATCATAATATGAGGGAGATTGGAAAAATGGCTTGTCTCATGGCTATGGAATTTTAATTTTCGTAGATGGAAGTAAATATGAGGGGCTTTGGCAAAAAGGCAAATACCATGGTAAAGGCATTTATAAAACTTTTAATGGAGCGAAGTACGATGGTGATTGGTATCAAGGTAAATATCATGGCATTGGCACATTCTAGTGGCCTGATGGAAGTATTTACAGAGGGGAATGGAAAAACTGCCGAGAAAATGGAAAGGGTAAGTTCAATGGTGTTAACGGGACAGTCTATGAAGGCGAATGGCTTGATGGAAAGTATCACGGTAAAGGAACACTTCATACACCTGACGGAAAAGTGCTGCAAGGTATTTTTAGAACAGGAAAATTTGTTAGTTGATGTAATGAAAGCTATAATGAATGATAAATATAATCTCTTTGATTTAATAATTTAAGAACAAATTGAAAAATATATCGTTGGGGTTTTGGGGTTTTGGGGTTTTGGGG